AAAAAATACTAAAAAAAACCCCTAAATAATAAAAAATATATATTTTTAATATATATATTTCTTATTACATAATATATAAAATATATACTATATATTTTATATATTTTTATATATTTTATATATTATACATATTATATTAATATATATTTATATATTATATGTATTATATAACAATATGTATAATATAATAGAATTATATATAATTCTATTAGATATATTATAAAATATATATAATATGTAATTATATATTGTATATTTTATATAATACATTATAAAATATCTATTTTAAATATTATATGTAATATATATTATATATATTATGTAATATATATTATATATAATAAAAGTATATATTAAAATATATTTCTATTTTTTAGAATTTTTAGTATATATAATATATATAATATATATAATATATATAATATATAGTGTATATATATAATATTATATATATTATATAATAAAAATGTATATTGAAAATATATTTTTTATTGTTTAGGGGTTTTTTTAGTATTTTTAGTATATATATTATACATATTGTATATATAGTGTATATATATGATACATAATGTAATATATATATTATATATAATTTAATTATTTTATATATAATATAATATATATCTTATATATTGTATATAGTATAATATATATTATATATATTATATAATAAAAATAGTAAATCATACTAATAAAATAATAATAATAATAAATTAATTAATTAATAATAGTATTAATAAAATACTTAAAAAATTAATTAAAAAAAGAAGAAAAATCAGCTCCAAATCCTGTGCTGTTCAAACCAAACAGGGGAGCAAGAAATCAGAATTACCAAAACCTGGGAGTTCTGTGAGGGAAAACAAGGCTTGGGATTCAAGGGAACATCCAAAAATCCCCTTGTGCTTCCAGGGTGATGCTCAATCTGCTTTTTTTCTCCTCCCCAGTCCCCCAGAACAACGAGAAGCTTCAGGAAAGTCCGTGTATTTTTGCATTAACCCCAAGACAAGTGGAGCTGATCAGAAATTCCAGGTATTTTCCCCTTGGGGTGTCAAGATTCCAAGGAAGTCTTGGATAATTCCTGTGTTCCCTCCTTGTGGAAACCTTTGTTCTCTGCCAGGATTTGTTGGAGGCCATGGGAAGCAGAGCTTTTGGGAGGTGGAAGGCACAAATTTACCCCTTAAATTGGACTTTTGCTCCTCCAACCTCCCTTTTCCACGGGGCAGGAAAAAACGGGAATAAATCCTGGATGACCCTGAGCTTGTGCTGGGAATATCAAACATCTGCAAGGGTTTTTTCCCCTTTCAAAAGGGGGGAAAAAGCCAGACTTGAAAGCTTTGTTTTGCACGTGAAAAGAAGCTTCCTCAGTTGGGAGGGATGGAATAGGAACTGCCGAAGGAAAACCAGCTTGGATTAGGATTTTCCCTGACCTCTGGCACGGGAAAATGCAACTTTGGATTCAAATGAGGCTCCTCAGAGGTGGCAGGGAGGTTTCCTCTGGGCTGACCTGCTCCCTTGGGCCTTGATGCAGAAGAATTCCTCCCAAAATGAGGCATAAAACCTTCCCAAGATTTCTCTTTGTGCTAAAGAGAAACCTATTTAACATATATTTATGTTCAAGAGTCAGAATTTCTCCAGTATCCTGGTTCTTGTGGGTTAACAGAAGGGGAAAGCTGTTGGAAAACTTCACAGGAAGGGAATAACAGACCATGGGATTCTTTCTTTCAGGGGGGATAAAAAAACTGCTGGTTTTGATGCTTTTTTCTCCCCGTATTCAGATTTTGGGGGGGGGGGAAACTGTCCCTGCTGAGGAACAACTCCAATATTTCTGGGGGTCTGAAATGCTCACGGGGGTCCAGCTTCTCCCACTGCCTGTGGGTGATGTCCCCACACCTCTGTCTGCCCAGGTTTCATCCCTTCCATTCCCCAAAATTTATCCTAAACCACCGAATTGGAACGTGAAATACTCTCAGGGGCAAATCCAGACTAATTTAGGGATTTTTTTCCCCAAAGCCTCGAGTCTCGTGCAGGAATTAGAGGATGTTTTACGCCCCTTTTTGCCCCCTTTGTTCTGTACATCCATGACTTTCCTGATTCCACTTGAAATCCTGTCAGGAATGGCCCTGCTGAAGGTTGGAATATTCTCAGAGGTGCCATAACACTCAATCCCTTGGTTTGCATGAACAGCTTTAGCTGAATAATTAAAACACAAGACAGTCTTGAACACTGGCAGGTAAACCTGACCTTAAAACCCAGGTTTTTTTAATAAATTCTCACACAAATCAGCAGAAGGGAAATGGAGACTTTTCACCTGAAGGGTTTGAAAAGCTGTGGGTTGGTGCATTAAGCAAAAAAAAATAATAATAATAATAATTATAATAATTACAGAACCACTGATATTTGCAGGGGGAATTGTACAATTTAAATAAAGGTCCGTGAAGTCATTTTTTTAAAGGAATGTTAAAAAATTAAGAGGGAGTGAAGCTCTTGAGTCTGGTAAAATTGACAGCTGGGTTGGATGGGTGTTTGTTTGGGGGTTTTTTGGGGTTTTTTTTCACACAATTAATCTGAACTTTCCGTTTCTTTAATTTTACCAGGGAGTTGCAACCCGGGGTGAAATCAGTTCAGGTGGTGCTAAGGTAGGTCTGGGCATGGGGGTTGATTTCCAAACCCTGAAAACCCAGGAGAGACTGGAAGATCCTCTGGATGCAGGAAGGATTCCGGAGGGGCAGCTCCACACCGGGGGAGGGAGGGAACATTCCAGCAAAAGGCAGCCAGTTTTCCATGTGGATTTTGTGGCTCCAAAGATAATTCACAGGGAGCTGTAAAGAGCACAAAGAACTGTCTCGAGCATCTTAAACTCTGCTTTTTGACCTCCTCTTGCCTGTCCTGCTGGAGTTGGTGCTGGACAAGTGTCCCATGTGCCCTCCCAGCTGCCATGCCTGGCTTGGCTCTGCTGTGGGATTGGGATGGGGATGTGCAGGGCAGAGGTGTTCAGAATTGTGCCATTTCTCTTCCAGAATCTGCTACACAGACACCAGTTCTCCTCAGGAGGATCAGTACCCTCCCAACATCGCCGTGAAGGTGAACCACAGTTACTGCTCCGTGCCGGTAAGGATTTGTGGGATCTGGTAAAAATTTGTGGAATTCGGAAGGGAATGATTTCCCCATGAATGCCAAGAGTTATAAAAATGCCCCTGCTCAGTTTAAAGCTAATTTTCTGGTGGTTTAGCCTCGTTGTTAATGAAATTCTGTAAAAAACTTCACTTCTGCTTCGTGCTCTGACTGTTCAGCTCCGTGTTTTCTCCCCCCCATCCTTGAGAACTGAGTGGAATTTAGTGGAGCTGACCCCGTGTAGGAGTAAAAGGTGAATAAATACATTTAATCCTTCTGCCTCAGGGCTACTACCCATCAAACAAACCCGGAGTGGAACCCAAAAGGCCCTGTCGTCCCATCAACCTCACGCACCTCATGTACCTGTCGGCGGCCACCAACCGCATCACGGTGACCTGGGGCAACTATGGCAAGGTGGGTGCCAAGGGAATCGCCCAGAATTCCACAGGCAGGGTGGAAGGGCAGCCCTGGTCACCCTCTGCCTCCCCTCTCTCCTCAGAGCTACTCGGTGGGGCTGTACCTGGTGCGACAGATGACCTCGGCAGAGCTGCTCCAGAGGTTGAAAACCATCGGGATCAAACACCCGGAGCTCTGCAAAGCACTTGGTGAGTCCCTCTGGCTCCATGAATCATGGAATCGGAGAATCAGCCAGGTTGGAAAAGACCTCTGAGATCATCCAGTCCAACCCTTGATCCAACCCCGCCGTGGTTCCCAGCCCGTGGCGCTGATGCCACATCCAGTCTCACCTTAAACTCCACCCCCTCCCTGGGCAGCCCATTCCAATGGCTGAGCCCTCTCTGGAAAGAAATTCTTCCTGATATCCAACCTCAACCTCCCCTGGCACAGCTTCAGACCCAGCCCTCTTGTCTTGCTGCTGGTTGCTTGGGGGAGGGGCCCACCCCCCCCTGGCTCCCCCCTCCTGTCAGGGAGTTGCAGAGAGTGAGGAGGTCTCCCCTGAGCCTCCTCTTGTCCAGGCTGAACAGCCCCAGCTCCCTCAGCCTCTCCTCCCAGCACTTGTGCTCCAGTCCCTTCCCCAGCCTCGTTACTCTCCTCTGGACCTGCTCCAGCCCCTCCATGTCCTTCCTGAGCTGAGGGCCCAGAACTGGACACAGCACTCCAGGGGTGGCCTCACCAGCACTGGGGGATGTCCTGGCTGGAACTTCACAGAATCCCAGGATATGCTGGGTTAGAAGGGACCCCCAAGGATCATCCAGTCCAACCCTCAGCCCTGCACAGGCCCATCCCCAAGAGTCACACCCTGTGCCCCAGAGGATCATCCAAATGCCCCTTGAGTGCTGTGCCCACTGCCCTGGGGAGCCTGTTCCAGCACCCAAGCACCCTCTGGGGGAAGAACCTTTTCCTAAGATCCCAAGCTAAGCCTCCCCTGGCACTCCAGGCCATTCCCTGGCGTGCTGGCAGTGGGCACTGCAGTGCCTGCCCCTGCTTGGCAACAGCTGCCACATTTTTTTCCTTTCAGTTTTTACCTGACCAGTCTTGCAGAGAGCTCTGAGGTTCTCCTGAACTTCAGAGGATCCTCTCGTTCTCCTGACGCTTCAGCTGAGCACTGGGAGCCGTTCCCTCAGAGCCAGCACTCCCAGGATGGCCTCTGGAGCTGGGAGTGGCAGGCAGAGGTTCTCCAAGCAGCTCTCCTGCCTTTTCCACAGGCCTGTGCCTCCGGTTTTACTGAGTCAGGAACTTCAGGGCAGAGATCAGTTCCATTTGGTGACTTTAACCAAGTAGGGATGTTGTCTTTATTCCTGTCCCTTTGGGTTTTGCTGCTTGGAAGTTGTTGGACATCCAGAACTTTGCTTTCATTGCTCTGCTCTGTTCTGTGAGTGATTCCCTGTCACTCAGGCTGCCCTTTGGCTTTGGTGGCATCTCATTGCTGACTCACCTTCCTTTGCATAAAAAACTCTGTGGAGTTTAGTACAGGAATGTTTTCTAAGAACAGAGATCGTGGCTGTGCATCCAAAACACCTCAATCCTGATCCCAGAGGAGGAGATCCTAGAAAAAAAAAAACCCACCCATTTCTCCTTCCCGTGTCTCCCGAGTTATTGATGCTCTGACAAAGAGCTTCATAAAAAAATTAAGCTGGGATGAAAAGGCTCCTCATGGGAAGAAAACAACCCCAAATCTTGTAATCTGCTGGGAATTTCACATGTGAGAAGTCACTCTCTAATTAGAGCTGGGTGTTGCAGGACTGCATGTAGCCTCCCTGTCTGGAGACATCTCGTTATGATCTGAAAAGGTCAAAAGAAACGGGTGACTTGCTCCAAAGGAAAATGGTGATGGAAGTGTCAAAGGCCGTTGCAGGCAGCAGTGGGAGCAGCAGCTCCTCCTCAGGACTTGGGGAGCAGTTCAAAGCTCATTTTGTTGATATTTTTTTGGCACCCTTGGTGTGGGGCCTGCCCCTGTGGGACCTGCCTGTCTGCTGCTCCCTTTGATTGCCCTGCAGCTCCTCTGGGTTTTCCTCTTGGGATGCAGCAGCAGGGGAAGGAGCCCTCCTTTCCTAACATCTGATCCTTCCCAAATGTATCCTGGATGGCTGCTGGGATGGGTTTTTCCGTGGCTGCCTTGCTCTGAGCTGGGAACCTCTGGCTCTGCTGGTGTTCCTGGGAAACATTCTGCTGGAATAACTGACCTGGGCAGCGTAGGAGCTGAAGAGCTGCAGTGCTAAGAGTGTTTACCTGGTGGGGAAAATGATGGGAAAATGGGTGTTTACTCTCATTTTGACTTTACCCCTGCTTTCTGACCAGCTAAGCCTAAACTGACTTTGCTCCTGAAGTCTTGCCATGAGCTGGAGCTGAATCCATCCACTCCTTCCCTCCCTGGGAGGGAAAAGGACTCGTGCACAGCCAAGGGCTGTGGGTGAGCTGCTCCTCCTGTGCTGCACCTTGTTTCCAAGGTTGGAATTTGCAGCTGTTCAATGCTGTGCCCTCTGCTCTCCCTGCAGTGAAGGAGAAGCTACGCCTGGACCCGGACAGTGAAATCGCCACCACGGGTGTCCGGGTGTCCCTCATCTGTCCGGTGAGTCCGGCTGTTCCCCTGGGATCAGCCTGGTTTGGGTTGGAAGAGACTTTAAACCCATCCAGTGCCACCCCCTGCCATGGGCAGGGACACCTTCCACCAGCCCAGGTTGCTCCAACTTGGTCTTGGACACTCCCAGGGATGGGACAGCCACAGTTTCGCTGGAAAATCCTTTCACGGCCTCGCCACCCTCCCAGGGGAGAATTCCTTCCTGATATCCCATCTCTCCCTGCCCTCTGGCAGTGGGAAGCCATCCTCCTTGTCCTGTCCCTCCATATTTTGTCCCAAGTCCCTCTCCAGCTCTCCTGGAGCCCCTTTAGGCCCTGGAAGGTGCTCTCAGGTCTCCCTGGATCCTTCCCTTCTCCAGGTGAACCCCCCCAGCTCTCCCAGCCTGGCTCCACTCCTCTATTTAGACCGTTTTCACCCCAAACCCCACATCCCCTGCTGGAGCAGCATTACAAACTCCCAAATCCTTCTCCTTCAGAGGGGGAACTGGGGGATTCCTGGGCTGTTCCCTGGCTGACGTGGTGCCCTTGGTTCCACAGCTGGTGAAGATGCGCCTGTCGGTGCCGTGCCGGGCGGAGACCTGCGCGCACCTGCAGTGCTTCGACGCCGTCTTCTACCTGCAGATGAACGAGAAGAAGCCCACGTGGATGTGCCCTGTGTGTGACAAACCTGCCCCCTACGACCAGCTCATCATCGATGGGTGAGCTTGGACCCCTCTCAGCCCCTTCCTCTCCTCTCCTCGTTCGCCCCGAGCGTCTTCGCTCGAGAGGTTCCGCCTCAAAGCTCCCCCCAAAAGTTTCTTCTGCCGGCGCAGAATATCCACCCTGAAGTGTCACAGCAAGACCCAGATCTCTCTCTGCCATTCTTGGGTTGGTTTTTTTTTTTTTTTGGAATGCACTGAAGCATTTTGAGGATTGAGAATCTGCTGCCTCGCTCACGGGCTGGTGTCTCGGTTGACAAGATGTCTCCTCGCACGGAATAAATCCCTTCCTAAACACCCGGGAAGACGATTTTTGACAGGAAACATCTTGTTTTCCTCGGTGTGAGGTGCTCAGCAGCTCACAGGCAGTCCATGGCACGCTGCAAATTTGATCTGGGGACCTTCTCCATCAACCAGAACGTCCTGCCCTCGAGACTGAGGCACAGAGGCAGTTTTGGGAAGAGTTTGTTCCGTCTGTGTGACTGTTCAGTACAATTCCTGTGGCTCTTGTGGGTGTCTTGGTGACAGGGCTGGGAAAGATCCCTCAATAGGAACTCCTGCTGTATTTTCCAGGGGGGAAAAGCAGGAAATTCAGATGCAGTGGAGGGACAGAATTAAACTGCTTTAGTTATGTTTTCCAGGCTGGAGGTTTTCCCCATCCACCTGGACTCCCTGAGCCTCCCAATCCTGGTTCCTCTGGGGACACCCAGTGGGGGTTGATCCCTTCCATAGGGTCTTTAGGGCCCCCCCAGATCCCTGTGGGGTGTGGGATGTGCTGAGAGGGACCAGACCTTTGGTGCAGCACTTTTGGGGTGGGTTTGGAAGCAGCTTTGTTGCCCCAGAATTCTGGGAGCCCGTTTGTGGGCTGGGACCACCAGCACTGTCGTGGTGCTGGCCAAGCCCTGAGCCACCCCCAGGACTGCTGGAGCCAGACACGTGGTTCCTGCCTTCTGGAAAACCAGCTCCACCCTCGTGGCTCGTGGAATTGGCCTCTGATGCAGGTTCCCTCAAAAGTAGGGAGGGTTTAGAGTGGTTTTTGGGGTGCATCCAGCTCCCCTGGCACACGAGTCTGTTCCCAGGGCCGGGCCGATGGTTCTCGGAGCGTCGCCGTGTTTGTGGCTCCTCGTTTGATCCAGGAGCTGTGGCTTTCCAGGCAGTCTGGAGGCTGGAGCAGCCTCAGCACAGATAACCTGTTTGCTTTGTCCTCTGGCCAACCCCAACAGGAAAATCCAGTTCCTTGGAGATCCCTAACAAGGGGAAGGTAGGAGGGGTTGGGCTGTGGAAGCCCCTCGTGTCCTGGGTGAGGAGGAGGAGGAGGGTGTCAGAGGGGAAGGCTCAGCAGCCTTTAATCCCTGCTCTGCACTGCTCAGGGATGAGTTTTGGTGCTGGTTCTGTTGGCTGAAGGTTGTTTCAGATTCCCTGGAAGTGGCTGAGGGAACCTGGCACTGTGAGTCAGGGAAGAGCCGGAGGCTCCCGAGGAGGGAGGTGGTTGGTCGGGTCTGGGATCCTCAGGGCCTTGTCAGCTTTTTGGGAAGTGCAGCTTGGTGGTTGCTCTGCTGGATGATGGGATTGTCCATGGAGACAATTCCTGCAGGAGCTGGGCAAAGCTGAAACTCTCTCAGTGGTGGGGCCTAAAGTTTCTCCTGAGCTTGTAAGTTTTTTACTACAAATTCTCCCTTCTCCTTGAAGGGAAATGCTCGAGTCCAGGAAGGAATGAGGCCTTGCAGTTCCAAATAAACATCCCAGGCAAACAGTGGGACACAGGGAATAAATCAAGCCCCCTGTTTCTCTGGGCTCAGGGCCTCATTCCAGTTGGATCCCTGCAAGGCCTGACCTCGAGGGATCCACTCCAGGTGTATTTTCAGTCCTGAACAGGGTTTTCCTGTTGCAGGGAGGCTCCATGTGTTGTTTTGGTGGCAACTGTGGAGATCTGGGAAATAAAACACTAGGAAGGAAGCGAGGTGCTGCTTGTTGGATTGCTGATTTCCCAGTGTGACAGGATATTTCACCTTCTGCTAATGCCACGGTGGGAATGTCCCTGGGAATGTACCCGGGAATGTCCCTGGGATGGGGCAGCAGGCTCTGCCTGGAAGCAGTACCTGGGAAACTGGGTGAAGAGGCAAAACTGTCTTTAATTGCACCTAATTAAGGTGGTGCTTGATGGTTTGGGTGCTCCCAGTCGGGGAGGACTGGGATGGTTTCACCCTCAGAACCGGCGCTGGTTTTATGGGGAATAAATTCCACGACTCCCAAGAGCTCCCAGCTCAGGAGCCTTCTGCCAACACCACGTTCCCTTGAAATGTAGGGCTGGTGAAGGTAGAAGATGCAGGGTCACTGAAGACACCGTGCTGGTTGCCTGGGGTGTGACAGCTCCTCCTGTCTCCCGTGCAGGCTCCTGTCCAAGATCCTGACGGAATGTGAAGACGCGGATGAGATCGAGTACCTGGTGGACGGCTCCTGGTGTCCCATCCGAGCTGAGAAGGAGAGGAGCTGCAGCCCCCAGTGCCCAATCTTAGTTCTAGGTGAGTCCCCATGAGGATAAAGGCTTGAAATCCCTGTAGGAAATCACAGAATTCCGGAATGATTTGGCTTGGAAGGGACTTTCAAGCTCATCCAGTCCCACCCCCTGCCGTGGGCGGTGACACCTCCCGCTATCCCAGGGTGCTCCAACCTGGCCTTGGACACTTCCAGGGATGGGGCAGCCACAGCTTCTCTGGAAAAACCATTTCAGTGCCTCCCCACCTTCCCAGGGAGGAATTCCTTCCCAATATCCCATCTGCCCTGTGTCAGTGGGATAATTCCTTCCCAATATCCCATCTATCCCTGGTCTCACTTTGAAGCCATTCCCTGTGTCCTGTCCCTCCATCCCTTGTCCCCAGTCCCTCTCCAGCTCTCCTGGAGCCCCTTTAGGCCCTGGGAGGGACTCTCAGGTCTCCCTGGAGCCTTCCCTCCTCCAGGCTGCCCATCCAGGAGCGCTGGAGCATCCCCTGCCCAGGGTTTCACTCCCTCCTCTCTCCCCCCACCCTCCCCAGGCTCCTCGGATGTGAACGGGCTCCTTCCCCCCCCTGCCGGGAACGGCGAGAACGGCAAAGCCCCCGCGGATGTCGTGGATTTAACACTGGACAGCTCATCCTCCGAGGAAGAGGAGGAGGAGGACGAGGAAGAGGATGATGATGACGAGGGACCCCAACCCAAACGACGCTGCTCTTACGAGAAAGGTTTAGTCTCTGCCTGCTGACGTGGCTCCGCCTCCCGACGGACACACTTGAATACTCTGGTGCTTATTAAACTGGAGGAAAGGGGGAGAACGTCCTCTCCCACCTCACCTCCCTCCCTCCCTCATCTCCTCTGACTTTCCTATTCCGAATTATTCATTAAAACGAGAGAGAGAGAAAAAAAAAAAAAAAAAAAAAAAAAAAAAAAAAAAAAAACCCCAAAAAACCGAAAAAAAAAAAAAAAAAACA